ATAAGCAGGCTGGATGAAACAGAGGATCAAATCAGTGAGCTGGAAGACAAGGTAGAAAGAAATACCCAGGTAGAGCAACAAGATGAAAAAAGACTCAAAAAGTATGAGGATAGCTTAAGGGAACTTCAGGACAGTATGAAACGTAACAACATTTGAATAACAGGAATACCAGAAGGAGAAGAAAGGGAGCAAAGGATAGAAAACCTGCTTAAAAAAGTAATGATGGAAAAAATTCCCTAACTGGAGGAGAGAAAAAGTCATACAAGTCCAAGAAGCGCAGATGGTTCCAATCAAGAGGAACCCAAACAGGCCCACTCTAAGACACATCATAATTAAAATGGCAAATATCAAAGACAAAGATAGACTCTTAAAGGCAGCAAGGGAGACACAGGAAGTTACATACAAGGGAGCCCCAATAAGGCTAACAGCTGACTTCTCAATAGAAACACTACAAGCCGCAAGGGGATGGCAAGAAAAATTGCAAGTAATAAAAACTGAAGGCCTGCAACCAAGACTACTCTTCTCAGCATAGCTGTCATTTAAAATGGAAGTTGTAATAAGGAGTTTCCCGGACAAAAGAACGGTAAAAGAATGTACCTCCATGAAACCAGCGTTGCAAGACATGTTAAAGGGACTGCTTTAAGAAGATGAAGGTAGAGAGTGAGTGAGAGAGAGAGAGAGAGAGAGAAAGGGGAACACAGGTAAAATAAGAAAAAAATGGCGATGAATAAGTACCTATCAGTAGTAACCTTAAAATAAATGGATTAAATGCCTCAATCAAAAGACCTAGGGCAGCTGAATGGATAAGAAAACATGATCCACATATATGCTGTTGACAAGAGACCCACCTCAGAACAAAAGACCTACACAGACTGAAAGTGAAGAGTTGGAAAAAAATATTCCAAGCAAATGGACAGAAAAAAAAAAGCCAGGGTAGCAATAGTTATATCAGACAAAATAGATTACAAAACAAAGGCCATAAAAACAGACAAAGAAGGTCATTTCATAATTAAAACCATTTCATAACAAAGCCCAGAGTGAGTAGAAGGAAGTAAATAATCAAGATCAGAGGAGAATTGAATGACATAAAGACTAAAAGAGCAATCCAAAGGATCAATAAATCCAGGAGGTGTTTCTTTGAAAAAATGACAAAACTCACAAGCCTTTAACCAGACTCATCAAGAAAAAAAAGAGATGACCCAAAATAAAATCAGCAATGAAAGAGGTGAAATTATAACTGATACCACAGAAATACAAAGGATTTTAAGAAATTACTAAGAGCAAATATATGTTAAGAAATTTGAAAACCTGAGCAAAATTAACAAATTACTAGAAATATATAATCCTCTAAAACTGAGTCAAGAAGAAGCAGAAAGCCTGAATACATCTATGTCAGCTAGTGAAATTGAAGCAGTAATAAAAAACTCCTGGCACACAAAAGCCCTGGACTGGACCGATTCAAAGAATTTTATGAGACATTTAGAGAAGAACTAATCTTAATATTTGATAGGGTACAGCACCCATTTATGATAAAAACACTCAGCAAAATGGGAATAGAGGGAGCACACCTCAACATAATAAAGGCCATATACAAGAAACCTACAGCAAACATCATACTCAGTGGGCAAAACCTAAAAGCTTTGCCCCTATGATCAAGCACAAGACAAATGTTTCTGCTTTCACCATTTCTATTCAACATAGCATTGGAAGTTCTAGCCACAGTGATCAGACAAGAAAAAGAAATAAAAGGCATCCACATTGGATAGGAGGAAGTAAAGCTGTCAATGTTTGCAGATAACATGATACTATACATAGAAAACCCTATAGGCTCCATCAAAAAACTACTTCACCTAATAAATGAATTTGGCAAAATGGCAGGATACAAAGTCAACATTCAGAAATCGAAGGCATTTTTGTACACCAAAAGTGAAACAGAAGAAGAAGAAATCAGAAAAAAAACCCATTTGCTATAGCAACAAGAAAAATAAAGTACCTAGCAATAAATTTAACCAAGGAGGTAAAAGACCTGTACCCAGAAAACTATACAACACTGAGGAAAGAAATTAAGGAAGACACAAATAAATGGAAGCATATACCGTGTTCATGGACTGGAAGAATTAACATCATCAAAATGTCCATACTACCCAAAGCAATTTATAGATTCAATGCAATCCCTATGAAAATACCAATGACATATTTCACAGATACAGAACAAATATTTCAAAAACTTATATGGAACCATAAACGACCCTGAATAGCCTCAGCAATTTTAAGAAAGAAGAACAAAGTAGGAGGGATCACCATACCTGATATCAAAACTACATTATAAGGCCACTGTAATAAAAACAGTCTGGTGTTGGCATAAGAACAGGTACATAGAATGATGGAACAGAATACAGAGGCCAGAAATAAACCCATGTCATTACAGTCAGTTAGTATTTGACAGAGGGCGCAGGTACATAAAATGGAGCAACAATAGCCTCTTCAATAAATAGTGTTGGGAGGTCTGGACAAGTACACACCAAAAAAAAAAGAAACCAGACCACCAACTTACACCATACACAAGATAAACTCACGGTGGGTAAAAGACTTAAATGTAAGTTTTGATGCCATAAATGTTCTAGAAGAAAACATAGACAGGAAAATTTAAGATATCCCACACAGCAATATTTTCACCGGCACATCCTTTAGGGCAAGGGATATAAAAGAAAGAATAAACAAATGGGACTACATCAAACTAGAAAGCTTCTGCACGGCTAAAAGAAAACATCAACAAAAATGGAAAGGGAACCAATGGTGTGATAAAATATATTTGCCAATGATAACTTGGACAATGGTTTGGTCTCCAAAATACATAAAGAACTCACATAACTCCACACCAGGAAGACAGGAAATCCAATTAAAAAATAGGCAAAGGACCTGAACAGATACTTCCCCGAGGAAGACATACAGAGGGACCATAGACACATGAAAAAATGCTCAAAGTCATTAGTCGTTAGAGAGATACAAATTAAAACCATGAGGAGATACCACTTCACACCCGTCAGAATGGCCTTCATGAATAAAAGAACAAACAAATGCTGGTGAGTTGTAGAGAAAAGGGAACCCTTGTACACCACTGGTTGGAATGCAGACTGGTGTAGCCCCTGTGGAAAACAGTAAGGGATTTCCCAAGAAAACTAAAAATGGAACTGCCTTTTGATCCCATGATCCCACTGCTGAGACTGTACCCTATGAATTCTGAAACACCAAAAGAACCTATGCACCCTGATGTTCATAGTAGTGTTATTTACAATAGTCAAGTGCTGGAAACAGCCTAAGTGCCCATTAGTAAACGAGTGGATCAAAACACTGGTACATTTACTACGCAGCAAAAAGAAAGAACTCCTACCTTTACGACAGCATGGATGGAAATGGAGAATATTGTGCTTTGTGAAATAAGCCAGTCGGTGAAAGACAAACAGCATATGATCTCACCTGTAAGTGGAACCTAATCAATAAAACAAATATGAGCAAAACAGAACCAGAGACTTGGAAATAAAAACAAACTGACAGTCACCAGAGGGGTGGGGGGAGGAGGAAAACAGGGGAAAGAAGGGGAAGGAACTAGCGGAGGAACACAAATAGAGGACTCATGGGCACAGACAATGGGGGGGTGATTAGGAGAGTTGGTGGGGAACAGGGTAGAGGGCAGCAATGGGGAAAAAGGTAGGATAACTGTAACTGAACAATACATTTTTTAAAAATGGCAATTTTATATGGTTCAAAACTAAATATATTTAGTATTATATTCCACATTTAAAAAGTAATGTAACAATAGGGGCTCCAAAGTTTCTCATTTTCTTTTATATCATCTGCCTGTTACAGGTACGGTATGTTTCTAAAATTTTTTTTTCTTTCAATTTTATTTTGTCCTGGTTTTGGTTGTAGAGTTAAGTGGTTAGATAATCATATATTTGACATAGTGTGACCTTCCATATTTCCAGAACCCCAACTGGCACCGTACAGTTATCACATTATTATTAACTATTATTTCCTGTACTTATTTCCCCGTGACTATTTTGTAAGTACCAATTTGTGCCTCTCAGTCTGTTCACCTCTTTCATTCAGTTTTCCAACCTCTTTCCCCTCTGGTGATCACCAGTTTTTTCTCTGTGTCTGAGTCTGTTTCAGTTTTGTTTGTTCATTTATTTTGTTCTTTAGATTCTACATATAAGTGAAATTATATGGTATTTGTCTTTCTCTCTTATTTCACGGAGCATAATACCCTCTAAGCCCATTAAAATTTTAGAACCTGCTTTTCTCCTGCACAGCATTTGCAAGTTGTAGTTTTAAATAGCATAAATTAGTTATTTCTCTTTTGTCGACTACCCTAAAGGCCTAGTATGAATAATTAAGCTTTTTATAGAGAGACTACTCTGGTAGTTGCTTAATGTTCCCTGATTACTTGGGTCAGTAGTTCATAACAGTCACTGGAGAACTTATTAAAACACAGGTTTCTGAGCCCTATATCCCAAGATTCTGGTTCAGTAGGTCTGAGTGGGGCCATAAATTTGCATTTCTTACAAACTCCCATATCACACTGATGTTGCTGGGGCCTAAGATCATACTTTGAGAACCACTGACCTCCGTGGTACAAAAGAGACTTACTTGTAATAAGCCCTCTTTAAAAAAAATATCTTTCATTAAAATAAAGCTCAAGTTGATGAGGTGTAAGATAAATTTTCTTAAGCCAAAACCATTTTAGGCGGGGGTATAGTACTGCATTGGCTCTATTTTATGATTATTGTAAATTGGATTTGCTTTGAGTCAGTTGCTGCAGCCCACGACTTCAGAAGTTAACTCTAAGGAATTTATCCACCTGCCCCTTCTTTAGAACTGCGCTGTGTTGTGGCTTGCCAGGAGGAGCAAGGGTCGCCCCAGCTCTGTGGCTAGAACTCTAGGTCCGGGTCACTTCTTTACTTGCATTATCAGAGGCAACACGTCCAGTTTGACAAACTGCAGGAGGCTCCAGATAGGGAAGCCTGTGGGCGCCAATCTAGGAGACCAAACCCCACTTGCTGCAATCGGCCAACCCAACCCCCTCCGCAAGTCTTTTCTCCTCGGGGGTACCCTCGTGCAGCCGCGGGAGCCAAGCGGGGACGCGAAGGAGCCCCTGGGGAAGCGCGCGGGCAAGTTCGGACCCGCGGGAGATCACGCAGAAGTCTACGCCCGGAACCGCTGCCTCCGAACAGTCGCGGGATCGCCGCCTCAGAGTGAGCCACTCGGCCCAAGGACCAACTCAGCCCGGGCTCTCTGGGTCAGGAGACGCTCTGCAGGCCCGCGAGCTTGTTCACTCAACTCGGCCCACGGTCGCCCTCGGGCTTTGCAGACATGACGGCCACGGCCGATGTTGGCTTCGTGAAGGAGGCTTCTCGGCAGATCCTGGCCGGCGGTTCCGCTGGTAAGTTCGCTCCGTCGGGGGCCGGTCGCTTTTCATCTTGGCTTGTCCACAAAAGTTTCTCAGACAAGTTTCCCAGAAGTTTTTGCCGTCTTCCTATAAACAACTCGCTGAGGGCGCAGAACCTGACCGGGCGGAACCAGAGCAAAGGAGGCCGGGAGCGGGAGGTGGGTGTCCTGGGGTCAAGTCGCCGAGGTGCTCGCTTTGGCCGCTCTCGGGTTCCCCTCCGTCTCCGTTCCTAGCCTGAAATGCAAGGTAGGCAGCCCCAAGGCCTGCAACACTGAGGAGGCTTTTTTGCCTAGATGGTTATTTTACTTTAAACGATCCAGCTTCTGTTAGACTTAGTTTTGCTCTCTATTGTAGCCTCTTCTGAGTTAATTCAGATCTTGCATAACTCCTTTCTCCCTCATTAAAATGTGTACCTCAGGACTCTACAGATATTCTTACTGTATACTGCGCTTGCTTGAGACAATTCGTGTCTTAAATAGACATATTAGAGTAAATGTTTGTGTTAGCACATATAAACACCTTTGATAGAATGGGCTTACATTAATTTAGAGAGTTATACTGTGGGGAAAAACATTTGAAAAAAATCTGCGATACTAATCATGGAAATAATTACTAAGTGTGGCTAGAGAAAGTTACCCATGAGATTATGTTATGTGAATGTATTTTAAAGATACTTTAAAATATAAATTATGAGTTGATTGAAAAATTAATCTTACAGACTGTCATGCATTTTTATTATAAACATAATTATATAATTCACTCATTGCCATATAACATTTACATAAATGTCTCTTAATAAATTATATTTGGTAACTCTAATAAAACACATTAAGACAATGACTAGATGTCTAATGTTTAACTTCCACTAGTAAAATTTATTTTCAAACAAATTTGAACTTTTTATAAAAGGGACTACTTACTACAAATAATGACCAGTTTTCATTTTGTCATGAACTACTTTCATCTCAGGGGTACTGCAAGCAGCCAGATGTATCACTTACAATCTGTACACTTTCATAAATATATTTTATTAATGTGGCAACCAAGGCGTGAATTTATTATATGTAATTATGGATATGTCTATCCATTGTTATGATCAATGGTTCCACTGTCCACTTTTTTATTGTTTGCCTGTAGTGATGATGAATCTGCACCAATTTATTCACCATTTTGGTCAAATCCCACAATGTTCAAGACTCTGCCACTCTCCCTGACTCACTGGATTCAGAGTCCATGACTCTGATAAAAAACAAGAAACAAACAAACCAAACCCCCGCCCCCCCTGCAAACTCAAGTGGCCCAATAAGAAAGTGAAGTTAATTGGTGAACATCCTAAGTTATTCACAATCATCTGTATATTGGCTTAGATGATCATGCTATGTATTAGACACAGCTAAACTTAAGGGATGTTAATAATAGATCAAACTCTAATCCTACTTACATTGTTTTGTTGGATGATAACTATTTGGCACAAATACAATGTGTGATTCCACCATGTTCTTAAAATTACAACTAATATGAATGAAAATTAGTACATATATAAGATAAATTAAACATAGCATAGCTGACTTATACATTTAGTACTATGGAATTACTGATAAATGATGAGAGTAATTTACACTTTCATCACAGTGAAAGAGAGTCATGTTTTCTTCCACTTGGCCAAAAACATTTTCATAAAATTTTATATTTATTGGACTTTAATAAGTTCAGGCTAATCATATTATATAGTCTAGGTCAAGGGACAAAAAGAAATTAATATACAACAGTCAGAATTTTAATAAATATAAAAAATACATATGAATCTCTAGCACTGGAGTTCTGACTGATACTGTCATTAAATGAAACGCCTCTGTGTATGTATGTATGTGTATTATATAATCTTTTGATAGTAAAGGCTAAAAATATAATATAGATTTCTTATGAAAAAGTAATTAGGGAGGTTTATTAGAGAAATACTAGGGTATACCATGGAATTCAGGGTCTGGGATGCATTCCTGGAACAGACTGGAATCAGGAGCTGGGGCACTGAGGGGAACTCAGGAAGTAAACTCTTGCCATGTCTTCCTTTTTCTCTTTGTCAAATGGTTCAGCATTCCCAAAGCAGCAAGGTGGTGGCTAATAATAGGGTCACAAGTAATACTACTACCGGTGTTACGATAGCTTCCATAAATTTGCCTGGTAAGGAGTAAATATGCCCAAATGGATTCAGATAGTTAATTACTGACACAGACAACAAAAGCAAATAATTATGGTGTCAGTTCCCCATATCTGATGTCCCTCGTTCCACAGGTAACACCAAATTGAACAGACCAGATGGTAAACGGTATGAGTGGTAGGTCCCTCTGCTCTTGGTCCCTCAGAATGACAACCAAGTAGTTTTATAGACTTCACTGAAGTCTGCAGCTTTACCGTAAGTAGGAGTGAAGTGGAAAGTCTTGTGCTCAACTGAAACTAGGGAGATCGATGAGAAATGGCATTGTGGCAGCCTTCCACAAGACAGTGTGAGAAACAGCCTGTCAACAGCTCCTCAGCAGGCTGATAATCTTCCCTTAGGCAACAAGAAATTACAGGACATCTGCCAAGACTCAGGTCAGACTGTGGTTAAGCCTCGCCTAGGTGGCCTAAGTGGAGATGTGTAAGGTTGTCAGGTGCCACACTGGAGTTATTTCCTTGTGCTCTCCTGGTGCCTTCATCAGTCTTCTTTCTGCTGTTGTCTGCTCTGCAGTCCATGTGGCAGAAATGTTCCCCAATAGCTCCTGCACTTACATGCTTCTTGACTTCTGTTCTGCAGAGGGAGCAAAAAGAGGCTGACTTGCTTTTTTTCAATTCTGGTGTAAAATCTGAGGAAAGACTCAGAATAATCCAATACTGGTCAGAGACCCACCTCTTCACCAGTTATAGCTAATGCCCATGCAGATGTCTGGGGCAGGAGTGGGATGGGGATCTCAGTAGAGATTTTCTCTAGAGAAGCTACACACATCATGAGATGGGCAATAGATGTCTTTTACAAGGCCTATCTCTTCTTAAAAGATGGTTTGCAATATTTGTATTTAAAAAAACCCAAAGAGATCGATGCTCTGACAGTTGCTTGGACAATTCACACCTAAAGACTGGCCTTGAGTTTGTAGCCAACTATTATACTTAGATATTGTAACCAATGGCAGCCTTGTTTTATATAATGAAAGCTGTACTCAAGACAAGTCAGTATGTACTGGAGTTCTACAGGCTTCTAGTCTTCATTCTCAGCTTCAAGTAGTAGCATAAGATTCAGGTGAGAGAATAGAAGCCAATGATAAGAGCTTCAGGAAGATCACTAAGGTCTAACATTGTAGACGAGTTAAATATGAAAATGAGAAGAGGCCATTGGATGAGACCCTTGGTACTCAGTGTGGTCCAGGGATAGGCAGCAGGGGCAATGGTAGGAAACACCTGGAAGCTCGTTAAAAATGTAGGCTCTCAGGCATCACTCCAGACCTACCGTATCAGAATCTGCATTTTAGAAAGGTCCCCAAGTCATTGATTTGTACTTCTTGTTTTAGAAGTACTGCACTAGACCTTTGAGAAAAGAGAGCCCATGGAGTGGGAGCTGGATCACAGAGGGTTGCAAATTAAATTTCTTGGTTTTTATTGCTGACCAGAGAGAGAAGAATGAATTCTGAATGCCTTATTAAATGCCCTCAGTTTAGCTTTCAGATTTATTTTCTGTCCCTCTCCCACACATTCCATTTGGTTTCTGCTAAATAAATTTGCTAACCATACTTGAATGTTGCCTGTACCTTTCCACCTTTATTCCCAATGCCTGGTATGTCTTCCCCTTGTTTTCTCTACCTATTGAAATCCTATCCATTTTCCAAGGCTTAGTTTGAAAAACCATTTTCTGCATAAATGTTTCCCAGATGGTCTCTACAGCCCTATCCAGCTTTAGCATTCTCATTAAGATGTGAATGGTACAAATAATAAAAGTATCTAGCATTTATTGAGGCAATACTAAATGCCAGACCCAGTTCTAAGCTTTATGGGTATTAACATTTTCAATCCTTACCACAACTCCAAGACGAAGAAATTGATGTACAGAGGGCCTAATTAACTTGCCTATGGGTGCGCAAGCATGTCATCATTTCTACAGAAAATCAGGATAGGGGAGAGACTAGGAGAATATTATTCCTATTGACAGACATTTATAGAAGTTGGAGAGATCAAGTCACGTATGCTATCCCTTATTACCTCTGTATCTCTTATTAGTTTACATCCCTTAGAAGAACTTTTGTTTACAAACACAATCCTTATAGTCTTTCTGTTAAATAGTATCTCGTTCTTTTCAAATAGTTCCATGTGTGTGGGGACCAATTAGCTTTTAGCCAAAAGAAAATTCTCAATCTATCTAGGGCCTCTACATGCAGTTGGACAGAGGGTTGCCTGCAAAAGGACTCTGGTCACTGGGGCCAGTGGGGACTGAAATGTATCCTGTGCTCTATTTCATCATCTGTATACTTGAGAGCTAAGACATGTCCACCTAGAGGAGAATGGACACCTTTTTCTGTCTCCCACAGAAACACCAAATGGATTGGCAGCAAACCTGACAGCAACACTAATTGAATTTCCCCAAACTTGTTAGAGCTCCCAAAGTCCCTGGGTCTCAACATCCCCCAGATCCCATGTCATTACACTGTCTGCCCATCAGCAGGACTCCAGAAGGTTTCTCTTTTATGCACAATTCTTCCTTGGAGCCAGGAACATAGCTCCACCTGAGACCCTCTCATGCTCCCTAATGGCCAGTTTGGGCTCCTCCATGTGTTTCCAGAGTTCATGGGATTCTTATCTAATGTCAGGTAGGAACTTTTAAGGCCCTCTCAGATGGTTTCCTCCAAATTCTTCTAGGGCTTTGCATCCCAACTTCAGAATCTCCCAGGGTCTCTGAGGAAGTCCCCTTGGACCCCTGAGAGACCCTGCTCTTACCAGGGGTTGCCAGGCTCCTTCCCGAAGACATGCCT